GCATGAACGGAGAAAGAAGTGACTCTTTACCCTGTTTGGTAAGGAAAGATGTGTGCCCTTTATTTGCTTTTGGTACCTGTAATATATATATTTATATAAATGCTCACACATACAGACACACGCACACTTACTTCACAGCAGCTGCTGTCTGGAGAGCTGCAGCTCATTACCATGGTACCTGAGGCTTATAGCAGAAGTTGGGTTTTCCCTGTCAGTGAATAAGGATGAGCTATGGCTCCAAAAACATCCGACCAAGCATACACGGATACACTTTTACATGATCAGGGTTTCACCGAGTGTATTATTTCCCTCCTTCCCCATTATGGTAACTAAATAATACAAAATGCACTACAGATCCAATTAAGCCTAAATAAAGCTGCATATTCCCTTATGAAAACTGGTATTTTCCTGTGACAGATGGATAAATACCTGAAAGGGGAACGGGCAATAGAAGCTCTGTAATAGGCAGTTCGGAGGGAGGGAAAGCAAATGAAATTTTCCCCTCACACAAAGAAAAAAAAAGCTGTAGGGAGGTGACAGAAGGTGAATGGACTTGCAAGAAAACTCTCAAGGGTAACACACGACAAGCATCAACATACGGATGCCAAGAAACTCAAAAGAATCAAAAACACAGGTGTGAAGAATGACAAATCTCAAAAACATCGGTCTGTGTGTGAGGTAAGGTGGCCCTCAACAAAGCCATTCAAAGTTGGAATTTATTTCTGCTCCTGACAAACAAAGCAAGGCTTCGAGGATATGAGGTAAAGATGTGCATATGGTTTTGTGATGTCACTGATATAACTGCTTTATAAGATTATAAGATAAATGGATGGTGCACGAACCTGATAGATGTAGCCAAAACTAGAGCTCTACTTTCTCCACTGCAACCTCCCTTCCTCCCTTTGCACTCTCCATCTCTCTTTTTCGCTCTCATGTTCCCTCCCCCTTTCACTTAATCTCTCTCTCTCTCTCTCTCTCTCTCTCATTGTCTCTCACTCACTCTCTCACTCACACACACATTCATACACACACACACACACAGGCTCAGAGGCAGACAAACAGAATAGAGGAGAAAGCCAGAGAGCAGAACTGCGGCGGCACGATGGGGATATTCAGCCTGCGTGGGCTCCGTCGCTGAGCCGTCCGGAGTTCAGCCACAGTATGTGTGTGCCTGCTCGTGTGTGAGTGTGTGCATGTGTGAGTGAGTGAAAGCCCCTGCCGACACCGTGTGGAGAAAGGGAAGAAGACGAAAAGAGACCGGGTGGAGAGAAGGGGAGAAAAAAAAAAGAAAGAGGGGGAGTGTTGACTCTGTCTCGGGCTTAGAGGAGGCTCACGCTACTGGATCATAGACGCCGATGTGCAACAACTACTCTCAACTACTGCTGCCCCTGCTCCACCTGCGTGCCACTGCCTGACTGTCCTCTTTAACTTCTGCCATGGCATAGCCTCCTCTTCCAGCTCGCTTCTGATCTACTGAGGAAACAGGCATGCATGGGCATAACCAGGGATCTAGGCTATCACATCCTTTACGTCAGTAATTCACAGTCTGAGGTAAGTTGCTCTTCTCTGCTCTTGTCCTCTCCTCCATTTCACCTCTTAGTCTGCATCTGAAAGGGGGGGAAGTCTGCTCATATAACCTATGGAGTGGGAAATCCAAGAAATCTGCTTGCTCAGAGGAACTGAGCCCTGGATAAGCCATAAGGAATATTTTCAGTCAAAATGTTCTCTTTAGTCAGATGATTAAATATCAAATCTGGGTGACAGATGAAAGGAGGTAAATCTCAGATGGATTTTACACTCAGATGCCTCTGCTCGGGTGAAGGGAAAATTCAGGGAGCGCTTATGGAATGTGCTGGTGCTGACTTTAACAGACAATTTACTCACTTCGGAAAACTTTACACATGAAAATATTTGAACTATTGCTTAATTTTGCGTCTGGAGGGAGGGGAGGGGGTGGACTAAATGCCAATGCTTGCTGACATTTATCAGATCTCGAAGGTCAGTTTTTCATTTCCAAGAGGATTTTGATCCACATTTTACCTGACTGAAGCGGCATACAAAGCTAAAACAGTGCTTGCGTATGAGGAATTGCATGATGCTGCATTTCCTCTCAGCTAAGTGAGCTGAGTTACATAAAACACGCCGATATCGATGTTCAAATTAAGAATTTGTGAATTATTGCATTAAGCTGCTTTCCCACGTTTGGCTGCAGCAGTGTTTTAAAAGCAGGGAGCATGCAGCACGGAGAAACATGTAGTGAAAGCTGGGCATCACACAGCTGGCTGCATCTGATGAAGGACCTCCAATGGACACTAATCTAGATTAATGGAGTTGGTGAAGTCACCATCTCCTTAAAGATTATTGGTGCATTTGTGTGTGTGGGGTGATAAGATGCTGGCACTGGGTTGCCGGTGTTTAGGGGGTGAGAGGGAACAAGGGCTGCCAAGAGCCCTCACATCTCAACTGTCCTTCAGTTGCCACACAAAACGCATGTCAGTCCCACTCATTCCTACAAACCTCTTGCTATCGCTCTCCGTCTCCCCTTTAACCACAGCTCACATCAGCGCTCTGATACAATCTCCTGTATGCTCTATTTCACTTTCAGCAGACACTAAGAAGAAGACAGAGGGAAACAGATAAAGATGGATGGAGAAAGAGAAAGAGATATAGAGCGAGGGGGAAAGAGACTGTCTGTAAGGAATAGCAGAATAAGGCAGGAGAGGATATTGAATTTCTCTTTGCTTTTATAATTCCATTATATGAAATTACAGGGTAGGAATAAAGGTGAGAGTCCAAAAAAAGCAAAAAGATATGATTACTTTAACTGGCTGTCTTACTTTAACCTTGACGCTTGATGTCTTTATGAGACCTAGGGGGAAGACAGTCTAGGAGTAATGGATGCGATGGCCAAACGCTTCAAAGCTAGTCTTTATTTCTAGGAGACATCAAGCAACACTTCACCTTCTAATACTACAGAGAAAAAGAAAGAGGGACAACTGCCACATGTAAACACACGAGACAGGAGTACGCTCAGGCCATCACCTATGTCCTATCAGTGCAAATGCAGAGAGGTTCCTGGAGATTTAAAGCTGGAACAAAGTTAAAGCTTTTACGTGTGCACACAGAAAGGGAGAAATGGCAAGGGAGGGGAAAAACACAAAACAAAAAACATTAGAGGTGGCCTGCAAAAAGTACACGCGTTTCCAAACGAGTGGTGAAGTGTGCATTCACCTCCCATCACCCCGCTCACTGGGAGGGGTACTCATTCATCCAGAAAACAAATGACTCTCCTATAAAAGAATGACTGCTTTTGGAACAAGCCAGATGTTACCTTTCATGTGCTAATAGGATTATTCATTAAGAATGAGTATTTTCACTGGGAGGACCACAGCAACGTAATGCAGTTTGGGTGAACTGTGTGTGTGTGTCGCTGAAGATGGGACCGTGTGTAGATATGTGTGGCTGACTTTGTACATCACATGAATACAGATGGAGGCACTTCACACCTGATCTCACCTAAGTGTTGCTGCAAGTGTATGTGTGCGTGAAACATGTGCTTTCCTATTCATCTGCAGGAGAAGAGGAGTTTTTTGATTTTTTGAGGCAAAAAATGAGACAAAACTTTAAAACCAACAACTAAATATTGTGTAGCTGCCCCTTGTTCTACCAATTACAGCTTCACCTCCTCAGGGATTTAAAAGGGCACCTCTTGGGGTAGGAAATGTTCAGTGTTATTGGAAACTCTACAGTTTGAAGGCCCACTCAGCAGCTGGGGATGTGCTGAGTCTATGATGGGTGATGTCTGCATGAGTGGTATGTGTCAAAGTGCTATCCACTGCCAGGATCAATGTTTCCCAGTATAACACTGTACTGTAACAAGACGAGGAATGTTATTCACTATGGTGATCAGTGGGGGAACTACAGTGATTTACAAATCATGTAAAACCTGAAAATAGTGGAAGACAACACACCAAATATTAGAACATTTTATTGTTTTTTTTAAATATAGCCTTTTGAATTTGTTGCCAGTGGCATGCTAAAAGAAAGAAGAAGCTGGGACAAGGCCATGTTTACTACTGTGTTACATCACCTCTTCTTCTTGACAGTGTTTTGTAAGAGCTTGAGAACTGAGAAGACCCTCTGAAAGAGAAATATTTTCCTGTTTTCTCCTGATATCAGATTTTCTCAAAAGTTTGGGGTCTCGTTCATCATTTTGTCATAACTTTTTCATAACTTTAATTATTGTGTGACGCGTCTGGATTCGAGGCCAGTAACACTAACAGACCATGGTGTTGTAATGCACGCCAAATGAAACTCGGCATTGTTTTGCTGAAATCAGCAAGGACTTTCCCTTAGAAAAAGTATATAAATTTGTATATGTATTTATATATTATATGGATAAAGTTCATATTTAATTAACAAGTCTACTAATTATGAGAAATTACCTTCTCTTGTTTTTATCTGGTGTAAAACAGGTTTGACCAACATCCCAAAATCCAGATATTAAATTTTCATTTACATAAAAGCCCCAAATTTTGACCTTTATAAGAAAAGGTAAGCAAATGTGTTGTAAACATTTTAGGTTTTGTTGTTAAAAAGGTTTCTGTTCACCAGCTAACATCTGTCAAAAGATCGTATGCACAGTTCCTGCTGTATCCAGAACAGTTAGCAAAACCACAAATGTCCCAAGTATTTAGTCATTACCTTAATAGTTATTTACTCTGTCACTCAAACCAACTTGTTTGCCTCATCACACGTCAGTGCTGTGAAATATACCCTCACAAAACCTTCTTTTTTATGTGAAAATCCATAAAACATAAAACTTTCTTCAAAGAACATATCAAGTTTCACTTTCTGTGACACTGCTTTGATGTTACTGTCGTCACAATATTTTTAAGATTCAGTTGAGCTGACCAAATGACACAAGACAGAATGGCTTTAGCTGTTGTTTCCTCTGTGGTTTCTGACTATTCTTCTTGATGGATCTTTCTCCATGGTTTCATCTTCCCCTTTCATTTCTGTCTCTATTTTACCCACGTTCAATCTGCAATATCCGAACCGAGTATAAGCCCCATGTTCTTTCTATCTGCACCTGTTTCTTCTCGTCTTTTCCATCTTCATGTGTAGCTGCGTATATGTGTGGGTATTTTTTTCTTTGCTAGGGATGACAATGAGGAATGTGAAAGCAGCAGGGGAGTTCTCTAGTTACCCATCAGTTTTGAAACCTCAGTCTAGAAGGCAAAGAGACAGAAAAACACACAGAGAAAGCAACGAGAAGACGAGTACAAAAAAGGGGGATGAAGACAAAAAAAGAGATCTAATGTTCTGCAGAAAGGTGGTAAAGAAAAAAAGGTGATGAGGCAATGATGTATTGTGATTAGGCCGGGCAGTCTCTGCAGCATAGATCCTGAGGTCTGATCTCCCTCTAGAGTAGCCTGTGACGTACAGACAGACTTTCTGAGAATTAATCAAGGTCCTACCTGAGTGTGCACCACGCAAAGCCAACTAAGTACAATTCAGCAGGGACAGAGTGCGTAAAAAATAATTAGGATACAAAGTCTGGGGGCTACAGGCCGAGGATAAGAAGATCCGCATAAGCAGCAGGCCAGCATAGAGTACACTATGTTCTTTTGTGAGAGTTATTCCTAGCACCGTACTTAAACCATGTGTATATAATGTCTTACTTACACATGGTTTACTTTGGGATCATTAAGTGGAAGAAATAAAAACCTCAATGCATAAAAATAACATATGTATTGCAAACATAGCTTTTTTTATTGCAGAAATATAAAATAAGGATATTGTGATCAGCGTGGATCAACAGCAAATCTGGATTGGTTCGGTCACAATTTCAGGATTCTGGCATCGAAACAAATACTGCAGTTAAGATATTATTATCATCGCTATTGGAGTAAGCTAAATCATTTTAAATCAGCCATTTGGCTTGCGGTCCACTTTAAGAAGATCTGGTTTTAAGCCAAGCTATGTTATCCAAGATGATGGGTGTAATTTTAGTTCTCCTTAAACTCAACATGATTTGTAACCAGGAGTGAAAATATGCCTTTATATTACGCTTTAAGATATTCTACAGATAGTATTTATTCATTGCTGAAATAATAATATAGATAATAACTAATGTAGAAAAAAAACTAATGGAAGGAAGCATCATTGAATTAAACATGCCTGAAACCAATCCCATAAAATCCAGCCATTTCCAGTGCAATGCCACAGCAGTAAACTACTGTTTACTTACAAAGGATTTCCTGCATGTGATGCCAGGAAAATGCACTTCCCTAATATTTTCCCTCAATACCAACTTACTGTCAAAACACCCAGCCGTCAATCCTCCTCACATCCCACTCTATGAACAAGGGTACAGCCAAGCCTGCTCACATGACACGGCACAAAGAGACAGAAAATAATAACCCAGCAATAAACCCACACTGTCAAATAACCTTACCAGTACAATCTTTTTACTGCGTAATCCGTCTGCTCTTAAGAGGCAGATCAAAGAATTTGCAAAACACCACTAAGCCCTGTATAATTATGAC